TACGAATTATTTGAACTCAAATCGTCCCCACATCGGTGTACAATACAACTTCCAAAATGTAACTAGCCCATATGCTTACAAACATAACTCTTTTTGTGGTTTGAGTTATTACTCAAAATCTTTCTCTAAAAAGAGATATTACTTAAATTGTTCAAAATTCTTTTGAAAATTTCAATTTCCTCCTCTTGGAAAACATTTACTTTTGGGAATACTTGATTTCCATATATCATTTTTTTAAAAATGAACTCAACTCTTCTATTTCTCAAAAACGTTTCAAATTCATATTATAATATGATCATTGATCACTCGGGTAGTCATACTTTATGAACATTGATGATCTATCTAGATACCATATTGCTCATACATTGATGGCATACTCGATTGTCATACTAACCATGTTTTAGAAAACTCTTTTCTCAAAACTAAGTTTAAAAAATCAAGTGATGGATTTAAAAAGCTTTTTAAAATTTATAACTTTAATCATAAGGTTGATCTGTAATTATTAACATGAACGACTCAACTCAAAAATCTTAATAGCATTAAGTTCTGAATGTATAGTGGTCCTTCATCTAGGTGTAGCTTTCACCCATAGAGTCCATTCAAAAGTAATTTCAAAGTTTTCAAGTTTCTCAAAATCCCTAAGTTTTACTCTATATCATGGGTTCCTTCTTCAAACAATTTTAATGGTCTATTAATTACAAATTCTAACTGAATTAGTGATTAATTAATGATTTGTGGTAAAAATACTCTAAGAACCCATGAGTTTCATCAATTCTTAAATTGTGCCTTTATGAAGTGGGTTTATTGATGATAATGCATATGAATAGAATTTGCCTAAATTGCTTTAGATTATTGAAGTATCATTACCCATGCCTAAATTGTAGTAAATTATTGGTGTGTTGGTAATTGTGATTTATAGTCCTAAAGGCAAGTTATGATCAAATTACATATTGAATTAGAATTGTGAATTGATGTTGATCCACTTGAAAGGTGGAGGTGTTTAATTACTGTACACATTGTGGTATAGAATTGATGTATAATTTCCTTCTACCTTTATATATGAAGGATCTATGTACGATCACGATGTGAAGTATAAGTATGTGATATCCATGAAGGTAAGGTGATCATGTATTGAAAGTAATGGTGTTATTATTGAAAGGTTGTTGCTCAATTTGACACGTATGAATGTTGATGATGGAATGTGAAGGGTTCTTAAATGTATTGTATATCTTGAATTGGTAGACTAAGGCATCCTCTTCTTGAATGAATAAAAGTATTTTGGAATGTTAAATCTTAAGTTGGTAGGCTTAGGCATCCTCGTAATAAATTGTATTGACTTAATGAATACGAATCAATAGACCTATGGCCGTTCACAAATGAATAATGAATGTATCTTGACAATGTATTTAATTGGTAGATGTAGCGTAGATAGCCCTTTTCTAAATGAATGATAAAGTATTATTCTAGGTTATGAAATGGATCGGTAGACCTAATGTTGGTGGCCCTTCATAATGAGTCTAGAAACTGATGAATGATAAACCTTGAAGTGGTAGACCTAATGTTGGTAGCCCTTTATTGTGTGAAATAAGTGACCTTGTGGTAGAACTAAAGTTGGTGGCCTTTTCTAGGAAAGTCAATGAGTTAACCTTAATGTGCCTTGAATTAGTAGACCTAAGGTTGATGTCCCTTTAATGTGTGATGTACCTTGGGTCGGTATGCCTAATGTTGGTAGTTGTCTCAAGTACAAGAATGTAATGTGAATGAAATACTCTATCGGAGTAGAGGCTAAACACCGAGTGGATATGTTTAAGATGTTGACTCTCTCAATGTTAGGTTACATTACAATAAACATCTTCTCACCCAATAACTATGTGCTTACATAGGATACTTACCGTTTCTACCATAGGCAAGTAGACCAACCCTTATGATGTGGAATGGTAAATCGGATTTCATGATTTTGCTCTTATGGTCTATATTTATTAATGATAATTCCCATCATGTAATATGTGCAAAATTGTTTCTTGAGAACTTCTATGAAGTGTGGGTAGTAATATAATGCTATCCATACATGCATGATTAGGTTTCAAGAGGGCTATAGTGGGTTCTCTGGTGCCTTAATGAAAAATGAATGAAAGTTCTCTAAATAAAGCTAATGAAGAATTTTGAATTTATATGTTTAAATGTAATAAAGCATGTTATAGTTGGATTATATAATGATCGGAGTTCATTCCTTATCATGACTTATGAAATGTTTATGTCTCTTATGTATGATTAATGTGAAAGGACAGAAAGGATAAATGTTAAGTTCATTTTGGTGAATGTGGTACTTTAGTGTGAATGGTGGTATGGGAGGCTATTCATACATTGCCCAAGGTATAGCGTTGGGTTATTTAAGGTGAAGACTTAATTTGATGAAATGACTTGTATGATGTGGCTATATCTTATGCCTCTTTTACTTATGTTCATGAAGATTTAAAAAAAGTTGTCACAAGCATGACTTTCAAATAATATGTCCTTTTTAAGCATGTTTTTGTGTGGTCACCATATTTAGTAAATTTTTGTGTACTAACCCATATTTATTTTATTTTAGGCCTAATCCATCGGTAGTGTAACACCTTAAAATGAACTAAGGTTAAATAGAGCCTTGTGATGGTTTCTTGAGTTAATTTTAAGTTAAAATGAGTTACATCAGTGTTCTTAGGCAGTGTGTAAAGTTTGGTTAAGTTTGGAGGTCGAAAGTCCATGACGTTCGGAAGGTGTGACTTAGAAAGTGCTTGTGTGTCTTCACGTGTTTGAGTGAGTTTTATGTGTTTATTTTGCTTGAAAATGGTGTAGGATGCTCCTAAAATCTAGAAGGCTATGTTTAGGGGTTTAACGTTTGAGTACAACCCCACCTAGGATCCACAAGGGGCCCCAGAGAAGGACCCAAACTGCCTTGGCAGTGTCCACCAACGAGGGCAATCGACAGCCAGTGGTTCAACCAAAGGCCCGTCGATTGGACCTGCAAGGTTAGTTAGTAAGGATCCAAATGGAACTAAGTGTCAACCAACGATACCCCACCAATGGTCCGTTGACAGACAAAAGGTCCGTTGGTTAGGTCTCGTCTGTGACCTGCCAAAAAGTTGTGAATGGGGTTGCTTTGGCTTGGGGTGTTTGGTAAATTCACCCCAATTCCTTTGAGGACCTTGGACAATTATTTTAGGGTTAGTTAAGTATATTAAATTATTTCAAACCCTAAGAACTAATTTTTAGACCTCATTTCCTAAAACCCAAAACCCCTCTCCTTTAGAATTCTCTCTCAAGTCACCATTGGAGCTAAAACTCAAGGAGAACTAGGAGGGATGGTTTTGACGTGTTTCTTCACCAAAATTAGTGGGTTTTCTTTCATTTGAGGTATGGTATCCATCCTTGAACCCTCTTCCATTTAAGGAGTCGTGTCCCGTAGATATTATATTGTGTCCTTAAGTTGGCTTGTGACGATGAGGCTTTCTTAGCATTTTATGAAAAAGGTTTCTTTTATTAAATTATTCGTGAAAAGTTTTAAATTTTCGCATGAGTTTTCATGTCTTATGTAATTAACGATAGTTAAGGGTTTGTACAAGACCCCAAAGGGTCAAGTACGCACAGTCATGACCCAACGGTTCTACCTAACTTCTAGGGGGTACTTTCGAGTCATGACAGGATGCCAACTAAAGTTGGCATTAGTTTTCACTTGGACACTTCAAGTAGGCCTTATTCATTTTAAACACCTTAAGTGGGGGGACGTTGTGTCATATTGACACATTTTTGACAACCAGCCAAATATTTTGAATATGTGTATTACACTCGCCGATGACGTGTCAAAGTAGCGAATTAAATAATGACATGTGGCATATATATTTAAAAAATTATTTTAAAATATATTGTGAATAAAAACTCATTTTAAAACTATTCAATTAATTAATTACTTTAAAATTACCTTTCAATAAAGAAGAAAAGAAAAAAAATCTACACCACCTTAATTTTTCTCCTTCACCATTTCCACATCTTTTCCTCCTCTAACCACTATTACTTTGATGTCTTCTTCTTCAAGTTTGAATATAACCAATTTAGATCATAAGCAAATACCCATAATCTAACTATCATATTATTACTATCTCTTCAATCCTTCAAATTCATGTTCTTCTTTTTTTCTTCAATCACCTTCACCATTTGAACGGCTCATTTTAAAAGTTTCAATGTACTCCATAATTTTTTATCCATGATAAAATCAGATCTATTTATGAATTTACTTGAAATTGATTCATCAAAATAGAAAAAGTTGAAAGTTTTGAGAAGTGGAAAATTAGTATTTCAAAAATTTAATCTGAAAAAATTAACTTAAATAGAGAGAGGTGAAAATAGACCAACAAACATTTGAAGCATGCGGTAAACTTTCCGGCAATGAAACTATGAAAAAAATTAGGTGGAAAAATTTGATATCATGACGAAGATATATGCTCTATTTTTTGGTCCTTTCTTAAATTATTTTTGTTGACATATATAATTAATTTAATTTTTCACATCAAGAAATGATAAAGAGAGGAGAAAGTTGAATATACAATGGTGGCAAGGTGGTGGTATATGGTGGAGGAAGTGTGGAAAGGAAAGAGAAAAAGAAAAAGTAATAAAAAAAAGTTTAAAACTCATAAAATTATGTCTTTCACGCTCAAAGTAAATGTAACAGACATAATATGTCAACTCAGCAAAAAGTGTCAAAATGACATAACAAGATCCTACTTAAAGTGTCTAAAATGAACATCGTCTAGTTAAGATGCCTATGTAATATTTGTTGTCAATTTTAGGGGGTTAGCGACGTACTTGGCCTTCATTTACTAGTATAGGTTTCAGCAAGTGAGTTGCTTTCTCTCTAGATCAAGGGCTTGGATTGAGATTCATTCAAGAACGTTTTGGGAAGTGCAGAGGCGTCTTTAGCAGGAAAAAGAAATATTAACATTCATTCATGATAAATTCTTGACAAATAACCGAACACAGAAGAAATCAATATTTCGCAACCAATGCAAACTAATGGTTCATACATATATATCGTTTGAAATATAATATATTTGCTTTTAGAGCATGTTTGAATTGACTTATTTTAAGTACTTGTGGAGTATTGAGGATTTTTATGCCAACAACATACTACACTTTTCTGTCAGTGTTGAATAGACTGGCCAAAGCTTTTGCTTTCTCTCTCAAGATGAATTTTTGTACCTTGCCAGTTGAAGTTGTTGGTAAATCTTGAAAAACGACTGCTCGAGGCACCATGTAATGTGGCAAATGATCCCTACAATATTTGATTATTTCATCTGAAGTTATTTCTTCGGATCCTTCTTTCAGCTTCACAAATGCACAAGGTGTTTGTCCCCAATGATCATCTGGTCGTGCGACTACTGCTGCCTCAACAACGGCAGGATGACTATGTAATACTCCTTCCACTTCGAGTGTGCTTATGTTTTCACCTCCAGATATTATAATATCTTTCAGCCGATCCTTAATTTCTATATGTCCATCTGGATGTTTCACTGCAACATCACCAGTATGAAACCATCCGCCTTTAAAAGCTTCTTCGGTTGCTTTAACATCTTTCAAATATCCACTCATCACAGTATTTCCTCTGCACACAATCTCACCAATGCTCTTTCCATCAGCTGGCACATTTTCCATGGTCTCCGGGTCTCTAACGTCAACTCTTTCTATACAAAGAACTTTTACCCCTTGTCTTGATTTAAGCGCTGCTCGTTCCTCCAGGGGCAAAGAATCCCACTCAGGCTTCCACAAGCAAGTCGTAGCACCACTATAAGTTTCTGTTAGTCCATATCCATGGGACACTCCAAATCCGAGTTGCTCCATTTTGGAAAGAATTTGTGGAGGCGGTGGTGATCCGCCTGTCATTATTTCGACCTTATGGAGAAGTGGCTTCCTGTCATTTGGTGAAGCATTTGCCATCATACTCAAGACAATTGGTGCTGCACTCATATGTGTGACCTTGTTGACAGAAATACTTTCAAATATATCTTTCGCTGAGACATGTCTAAGGCAAACATTTGTGCCACCAAGTGCAGCCACTCCCCAATTCATGCACCATCCATTGCAGTGAAACATTGGAAGTGTCCAAAGGTACGTTGGCATCAGAGCCATGCCATGACATAGGAAAGCAGAAATTGAATTGAGATATGCGCCTCTGTGATTGTACACGACCCCTTTGGGCGAGGATGTTGTACCGGAAGTATAATTGATACTGATAGGATCAATTTCACTTTTTGGCCATCTTATTGTAAAATTGCTACTCCCACTTGACAAAAGATTTTCGTATTCGTGAATGTTAGATACAGGAGGAGATGAATCGTTAGATTCGGGGATTAATATAAGAATTGGTGGTTTAATTGTTTTGTCTTTTGAAAGAAGAGAAAGTGCTTGTTGAGCAATTTGGAGGAATTGTTGATCAACAAATATCATCTTGGTTTCAGAATGTTTGAGCAAGTAAGCCACCATTGATGAATCAAGACGAGTATTTAACGTACATAGAACAGCTCCAGCCATTGGTACTGCAAAATGCAACTCCTGCATTGCTGGTACATTCGGAGCCAGAGTTGCAACCTGCAATAATTGTTCAAATTTGTATCACGCTACTATCAACAAAACAAATGAAGTTGAGAAAAGAAAAAATCTTAATTACCACATCTCCCCGCGAAATTCCAAGCTGAATTAAAGCAGAGGCAAGTTTTAGACACCTAGAATGTGTCTCTTCCCAAGTATACTTCACACTAGACCCAAACACAACCGAAGTTCTATCGCCAAAAACATCTGCTGCTCTCTCCAAATAACTTATAGGTGTCAATGGAACATAATTTGCTGGACTAGTAACAACACCCTCCAATAATTTTCGAGACTCATCGGTTGATTCAATACTCCCAGCAAGTTGGCACAGTTGCCGGACCCTATGAGTAGGTGCGGGTAACTGGACTGATCCATTAAAGAACCTTAGTGCAATATTAGAGGTTTTGAAGAATTTATTCATGGTGCAGCAGCCTAAAAACTATGCAAATATATTTTTTTTATGCAGTAATATATAGATTTGGATTTATATATATGTGTGTGCATACAGTATACATATATTCTTCAATTTACTGTTGCATTAATTGAAGAATGAATTTCGTCTGCTACCTGGAAGCATAGCCAACAAAACTTTAAGGCATTGCCAGTTACAAACTTTTAGCAATTACTAGTGACAATTACAAACTTATAGCAACATTGGATCTGATGAAAATTAACTAAGGCAGATAAATATTTTAACATTCTTTATTAACAACATATTTATATTGGCTAAAGTTTATTTTTGTTATAGTGATAAGTAGTATATCATCGTCAAGATTTACTTAAATTTCTAAAAACATTAGTTAAAACATAGTAATTGATCCATTAAAATCCTCTCCAACTGGCATTCAGAACATCGTTTGATACTCCCTCTATTTCATATTAACTGAATTTATGGGCAATACACAGTTATTAACAAAAACATTCAAGGACAAAATTTAAATCATATTTTCTATCATAATTGTAATTTTTTTAAAAATATAGCTTATCTCCTAGAAAATATCAAACTTCACTAAATGAAAGGGCTAAGATGAAAAAAAAATCAAATATTCATCTTAAACTTTAAACATTTCAATTATTTTAAATAATGAAGAGAAAAAAAAAGTTCAATTAATATAGAATAGAGAGAATATTTTGCTTGCATAAAAGTTAGAAGTTTATCATGAAATCCCATTAAAATAAGGTAAAATTCTAATTAAGCAGTTTTAAAAAACTGGTATTTCCATTATTAGCCGTTAGAAGCATGAAATATATTGAATAGCGTCTGCACATTGATTAGTAACTTTTTTGCCTAACTAATTCTGGCTGCCTAACAAATAAATTATATTAAGAGGTATCATTTGATTTAATTAGAATTGACTTGTTTTGGCACTTAATCGAGTAGGACTTTTGATAGGATTTGATATAATTTTGATTCCTTTTGCAATTATATAAATTTAATTCTTTTCAAACGTTAGTATTACTCTCACGGTTTATATTTACTTGTCAAATTTTGACTTGACACACTTATTCAGAAAATAATAATTAGTATAGTGAATTTATCATTTTATCCTTATTAATTGATATGGTCACAAACATATTTACTCATTATATTTTTCAAATAGATTGATTCAATGTTTTAAATTGAGGATATAATAGAAAAAATAAAATTATCTTTTTTTAATTTGTCAAAAATAACAAGTAAAAAGAAATATCAAATTAGAAAATATTTGACAAGTATATAGAGACTGTGGGAATGGTACTTTTCTCAAATATTTTTAAGATGGATTGTTCAAGTTTACTTAATATGATAAAATTTCATATGTTAGCGAGTAGAACCATCAATATGTGCTAAGCTCGTAGGGCCAGCCTAGCTTTTTATGTGATTTGATAGGGTTGGGCTACGATTTTTTAGCCTATTTAAGGAAAGGGCTTTTTAGTCGAGCTTGAATAAGTCTGCCGATTTGTGGGACTTGAGTAATATGGATAAGGCCGGCCCGAGGGCTAAACAAAAATTAATTTTTAAGAAATAGATTATTAAAAATAGGTCCCCTTAAAAATAACAAGAATCTAAACTCAAATCTGTTAAAAGTTTGAAATATTACAATTCAAATATAAATTATGTTTATAAAATATGTACTAAATAAAATAAAAATTTCTAGAGAATCACTACATATGGCGTAACCTGTGAAATGTGGTCATAGTTTTGTGTTTTGTTATGATCATAAAAGACAATTAGGTTGATATTCTATTTAGTTATTTTTATACTTTTACTTGAAATCAAACTTAACAAAAATTATAAAGATAATTTTATTTATGAATTTGATTAACAAGTAGTAATACTAACATCATCTAATATTGTCTTGTCGATATTTATGATAATATTTTTAAATTGTAATTTAATTGAAAAAATTATAAAAAAAATACTTTTAGAAAAAATGAGGGTTGGCCCAGCAAAGCTCGTAACCTACATACTTGTGGACTAGACCAATCATTATCTGACCCACACTAAAAATGGGCTAGCCTGACCTAACCCGTAAAATTTTTATAACACAAATAAATATAAGTGATACACGAGCAAATGAAAATAATCTTTACATCATGTATTATTTTGTTTGTATCAGCATATTCGCATGTATCACAAGGTATTCGTTGATAACATGTATTCATTGAATACAACATGTGTGTATCATTTCTCCTCTCTTTTTTTCCCACTCGCCTGTTCCTCTTGGTATGAATGATAAATATTCAACTATAGTTTATAGATTTCTAATTAAATCCCAAAGTTACTCAATTTTTTAAATTCTCTTTTATCAAAATCAGATTCAGCACTATAACACGTAACATTTTTTATAGCAATTTGTCTGTCATTTTATATTCTGAAATATTAACGGCATGTTTGGAAAGCGATATAATTGAATTTGGTGTAATTGGGTTTAATTACATTGTTTATCGTGTTTGGTTGGTCATGTAATTACCTAGTCACTAGGTAATTGGATGTAATTGGCAGGTGGTAATTACACTCTTTAATTCATAAGAAGAGGCTGCGAATTGTTGGTAATTACATGTATAAATACAAGTTGATTATTTTTATTTTGTTTATATTATTTTAAATTCTTTTTATTTTTATTATTCTAATGTTTTCTAAATATGTTTCTTTATATATATATTATTTATATTTCATTTCTTTCTCATTATCAACCTTTATATTTCATTTCTTTCTCATTATCAACCTTTACTTCACGTATACAATTTCTCGCATTATCTAAAAAAAATCATTAGCAAAATAGTCTAATTTTGCTATGTTCTAATTTTTTAAAATAAAGTAGAATTCATTAGTTTAATTTTGCTATGTTCTAATTTTTAAATTAAAGTAATTACTCTAATTCCAATTATCTTATGGCTTTTCAAATAGACTCTAAGAGTTTTTAAACTTTTTAAACTTAGAGTGTGTTTGGTATGAAGGAAAACATTTTCTGGAAAATGTTTTTTCAATTTTCTCATGTTTGGTTGGGGCAAAAGTTTTGGAAAATGTTTTCCAAATCAACTCATTTTCCTCAAAATTAAGGAAAATGACTTCCCTTAAAAAATTAAGGAAAACATTTTCCAAAGCTCTCCTCCAATTTAAAATTACATTATTTTTTTTTGGAAAAAACATCAATTTAAAAAAAAACAAATTTCAAAATTTTATTTTTTGACCCGATCCCTGACCACCCTCCCCCCAACCCCCCTCTCCAAAAAATTAATTTTGCTTTTTGAAAATATTTTCAACTTCAAATTTTTATTTTTAAACTTCTACCTCCCCCCTGGCCAGTCCCCCTACCCACCCCTACCACCCCCCACCCCAACCCTAACCCCCAAAAAATTTAATTTTGCATTTTAAAAATACCATCAACTTCAAATTTTTATTTTTTCACTCCTACCCCCTCCCCTGTCCCCACCCCCCACTACCCCTCCACCCCCCACCCCCAACCCCCAAAAAAATTATTTTTAAAAAATATTTTCAATTTTATAAATTATTTTCTACTCTAGTAAAAATAAAAGATGTTCCTCAAAAACATTTTTCATTCATGAATTAAACACTAAAAATTATTTTCGAAAAATATTTTCTACTCACCAACCAAACATGGAAAAATAAATCCAAAATCTACTTGTTTTCTAGAAAAACATTTTCCATGGAAAACATTTTCCTTCGTACCAAACACACCCTTAAAGAAATACCTAATAACACCTTTTTGTGTTATCCTAAAATCTAAATATTAAAAAAAAAATGTGTTAATTAGCTCAAAAACTTGAGTTTAAAATTGAAATTGTCAAGAATGAGATCTGTTTAGAGTGGGTAATATATCAAAATAATAGAAACTTTGAGAAAAATTTATATCTAAGATTGAGGGTAGTTTTGATTCAAATTTTCAAAACAATGGACGATAAAGATGAAGAATAGGCACTTGCAAGAAAATAATTCTAGTTGTTGAAATCAATTGTGGTTTGTTGGGAATAAAATACAGATCAGAATTTATTTTAGTATTCAAAATTTATTGAAGAAAACTACTTGGGTGCCCAAGTATTAAGCTTATTCAAACCTAAATTTACTTTGATTTGAAAGATTTTTGATACATAGGTCTTGATTGTGGAAAATGATAGGTGAAACTACTATATACTAATTGTGGTGTATCAATTAATGTAGTGATGACAGTGTTTCAAGAAAGTGAAGAAAAAAATTGCTATGAAGAAGAAAATAAATTAAAAATGAGATAAAAGATAATAAAGAAAAAATATTTAAAATAAAGTTTTAATATTTATTTTTAATTTTCACTCTCTCAAAGAAAGTAAAATATAGTCATTTGTCAAGTAAGCATTTAGAGAGGTAATTTCAAATAGTACGGGGTGATAGAACCCCTGTAAACTTGAAGTGTGTAACTGAAAATTCGAATATAAATTAGGCGGCATGTGACTGTTTTTTCTTAAATTAAATCAAAAAATTGGACATAAATTAACCATCTAATACACGAAACACTCATTGAAAAATAAATGAAAATTATCTAATTTGAATATTTTACTAGAATTTAAGATTTTCAATTAAAATAGAACTTAATTCAAATATTCAAACAAAACAGTTCAACAAATTTTTAAAAAGATGACTATATATTGAGTCATTTAAAGAAGGACAAACTACATAGATTTCGTTACTGTAGATCTAAATTACTAGAATTTGTGATATTAATTACTTTCTATATGATATTTTAACCACGAGATCATTAAAGACGAGATATGATTTTTCACTAATTTTAAAAGTTTAAGATATACAAGTTATTAATTTGAATTAAAGGTGGGGTGACTTATTCCCTTTATTAAAGGATTAATTGATGACAAATTAACAACTCAAACTGATTTACAAGATCCTAGCATATCAATTCTAGCAAGTTTTCCCAAAATAGTGAAATTATAAACCAAAGTAATTTTGTATCCTAAACTTCACCTTCTTCATCAGTTCCTTCGTTGATAATAAATGCGAGATATGTGTATTCAACTGTTTTAAGAGTTGTGGTACATGAGTTATTAATTTGAAGTAAAGACAAGAACGTGTGTATCCAATAGTTTTAGAGCGTTAATTGTATATCTGTTTTATTAATTAAAGTTTGGCGTAATTCTTTCATTTTGATTGAATCATTCTTAAACTTAGATCTATTTTGACTTGAATATTAGCGGATGAAGACCCCGACAAGATACATAACAAAATCTTTAAATGAAAAGACAAACAAAAATAATGGGCTTGAATTGATATAGAGTTATTGCTGAGATATACCTTTAACAAAAACCATCCAATTTTGTGAATGGTTATCCATTAAAATAGGTAAGAAACAACAAAAACAAACAACGTAAAATATAATTTGTAAAAGTTAATAAAATCGAACTTTAGAGTAATATGAATTTTATCTCAAATACATAAATGGGATGTAAACCAAGATCATTATAATATTGAACAAAAAATGATAATTTAGTTGATGGTGGAGGTGAATGATCATTGTGGGAGGTGAGGGTGAGAGAAGATTGTGGA